AACTATGTCCTTCTCTATAAAATAGTGTCACATGCTGAACTCAGGGTTTGTTATTTTATTTATTTTAAATATTACATATTTTTCATACACTATTGTTCCTGGCAATAAATAACTTATCAATAATAACATTATTTGGCATAATGACAGTATAATGGTTTAGATCCAAAATGTCCCCCAGAAGTTTAATCCGTCCAGAAGTGGAGCTTTGGGAAGATAGCTGGGTAAGGGGGGTGAGACAAGGGTTACTGGGGGCATGACCTGGAAAGATGTATTCTTGTCTCCAGCTTCTCCCTTCTCTTTCTTCTTCCTGGCACCCATGGGTTGAGTAGCTTTCTTCCCCATGCCCTTCTACCATGCCATTTCTGCCTTGTAGCCAGCCAATCACAGACTGAATCCATTGGGAATTGTGAACTGAAAAAAATTCTCCTTTAAGTTGTGGGTTAGGGTATTTTGCTTCAGCAAAGGAAAAGTGACTGACACAGTTCTAAAAGATAATACAAATATCACAGCATGTATACTATGTGATATCACTTAGACCAGGAAACCCCACAGCTATGCAATCTTGCTCTGGGACTAAGAGGCTGGATAGGAGAGGCTGAAGAGTTAACAGCAATGCTTCTGCTTCTGTAGCCTTCATGAAGCAAAGGCTTGCTTCCATTAACAAAAGCTTTAAAATGTTTCTTAGCATGTCCAGAGCCTTGTAGGGCCAGTAGTTAAGATGAATCTTAGCAGAGCTGGGGATGTAGCTCAGTGGTAGAGCACTTGCTTAGTATGCATGAGGCCCTGGATTTGACCCCAAACATACATACATGCATACAAACATACATACACACAAAATAAATGAAATATCTTAGAACATGGATTATCCAGCCCAGGGATCCAAAGAGGACAGATCATAAACTTTAGTTAACCAATGGTTCTCAGGCTTTGGCAAACCAGAAAACTTAAAGAACTTACTTAAACAGATTGCTGAGTTCCCTCCCCAGATTCAGTAGGTCTGGGGTGGATCCCCAATTTCTATTTCTAATAAATTTCCACAGAGAGCTGATGATGGTGGACAAGAGCCACACTTTGAGAACCACTGAATCCATAGACTATTGGGATGTGTGTAATGGGACTCTATAGCAATAATGCATGTGAGAATTTTTTCACTAAGGTGAATCGCCTGGTAACTCTTTGTGAAAATTAGGGCTTCCTAGTTTTAGCCCCAATATTTTCAATCGTACACTGCCCTTTCTGTAGTTTATCAACTTATTAGTAGATAAAATGGCCTCATTATTTTTTAAGCTTTTTTCATTTATTTTTATTAGTACATATTGCAGTATGTAATGATTACATTTATCATTTTTAAGGCTTTATAAGCCCTAGAAGATCTATAGGCACTCTCCTGGGATAACCCATATGCACATACAGAGAGAGATTGCTTATAATTTTAGGAAGTTCTAGGATACCTCCCCCATAAGCCCACCCACCGGCACTTAGAAGTATAAGGGAAAAAATTTTAAGCCTTGAGGCAAAGTCTTGGGTTCACTTGTGTGAAACAAAAATTCTCTTCTTGCACTTACCAGTTAATTCATTTGTACAATAGGAGGAGTAATAATAATTCTTGCCTCATAGTTGTAAAGATTAACTTATACAATCCACTGATATTTACACTTGGCAGTATCTGGCAGAAAAGCCATAAATATTTGATGTTATTAAAATTGTTACCTCTTCCATGAGCAGAGAAAAGGATTTTGCTAACATAGAGTGAGGTGGTTGTGGGAAGGGAAGAGGTCAAGTAGGAAATGTAGGGTAGTGAGCTGAGAAAATAGGGTGATAAGACTAAAAGCAGCAGAGTTGACTATTACAGGGCTTCCAAAGGCAACTGAAGAATTAATGAGGGTACAAGCTACACTCCAGCCTCAACTATGCTCCGGAGCTAGGCCAGGCCTCTTCAACTTGGTTTTCCTCACCTGTGAGTGCCTGGGCTTCAGTGTGGCCTTTGGTCCTCTCCACATCCACATCCCTCAAAGCTGGGGAAGAGTTTGAAGAAAAGCCAGGAGCTGAGAAAGTGCTTGGAATATTTGAGTAATTATGAATTAACCAGTGTGACTATTGTATGGATTGGAGGTAAGAGTGTAACACCTGACGGCAAGAAGATAAATTGGAAGCTTATCCTGAGAAAGAAATCACAGGCCAAGTGGAATGCCTTGTCTTTACTCTCTATGCTGCAGGCAAGTATGGAAGATCTTTGAATAGGAAGATACCAAAAGCAAATGAAAAGGGAGCTCAGGTGCCTTTGTGAAGGCGAGGCTGTAGAGGGGCAGAAAGGAAGCAAGACCTGGGGAAGGTAATGGGAACTTGAACCAAAGTGGGAGAGGTGAGGTAGCCAGGAGGGGATGATCAGGAGAGAGATTTGAGAGGCTGTACTCTTACAGATGATTTGCGAGATATAGTACAGAAAATAGGCAAGCTGCAAGTGCTCTCCTTGGCTCTCCCAGTCCCAGCTTCAGGTGCTGGCAAAAAAGCAGACTGTGGAGTTGAGGAAGAGATTGAGCATGGGCTTAGAAGCCAGGTGGTAAGGGAAACCCTTTGGTCATCTCATGACAACTTACATCCTCCCTGGAATGCTCACGAAGTAGCAGCTCACCATCTGTTTGCCTGTGTGGAACATCAAAATTACTAGTTCCCGGAAATGGGTCCTCCGCCAAGCAGCTCTTGAGACAGGGTCTCGCTTCAAACTCGTGGCAATCCTTCTGCTTCAACCTCCTGAGTGCTGGGATAACAAGCATGTGCCACTACACCGGCTATTTGAGCAGCTTTTAAAATCCCTTTCAGACACCTTCTCAAGAGATTCTGATCTGGGAACCGGAGATACGGCTGCTGTGGGGCCCATACATCTTTACTTACAAAGCTGTCAGGTGATTCTGATGCACAGCTGCATCTGGGAAACACTGTGGGATCTTGCTGTCGTGCTGGAAACTGAAGAGAAAACTCAGGTTTGACATCTTCTTGTGCTGGTGAAGCTTGGCTGGCTTGCAGACTAGGTTTTGATCACCGCCAGCACCTCAGGCACAGTAACTTCCTTGGGTGTCTTGGTTTCCTCTCCGTTCTCAATCCTGACCCTCAGCAAATACATCAGGAAGTGGGAGAGGAAGAATGCTTGTTGAGGTCCCCTGAACTTCTCAGGGAGACAATGTGCATACAAATCATCATTTTCACACTTGCCCTTAATAGAAAAAGAAAGAGAACTTGGCTGTGTTGCAGAGATACCATGACAGAATCATTCTATGGGATGCTTTGCATCTTTTGAAAACAGGCTACATAGTAATATTTCCATTTTCTGCCAGGCTTGCACAACACTCATAACACATTTACTTCCATTGGCACTTTCATCCCTCAGAAAAGCGATACAGCCACAGGTACGGTAGGTGTTAAAAACTTCCCTCCCTTCACTGCGCTCTGCGAGATCAGTGACTCATCCACGTCAGACAACTTGAGCTAGTGTTGAATTTGCTGTCCTCCAAAGCCTGGGTTCTGCTTCTGTGCCATAATGGAAAAGGGCAACATAAAGGCATTTTTCTCTCCTTGTAAAAGAAAAAAAAAGGGGGGAGGGGGAATTATTTAAACACACCTCACTCATACTCCAATCACTGCATTGTTTTTCCTGTAGAAACACCCCGTTGGTTTTTAAATCCCTTTAAACCTCCCCAGCACCTGTATGGCCCAGGTCCAAGAATTATTACTGAATCCCTTGCTTTTTATATTTAGCCTCAGAGGAGTTCTTGTGATGGTAACTGGCTCCGGGTTCAGTTGAACATTTCAGAGTTTCCAGAAGTTTTCTTATTTCATAGGCACTGGAAACAGCGCAGTGCTCAGACTTGAATTTCATTCATTCGTTCATTTATATTTAACAGAGTATGCTTGATGCTCTCTGTATTTCTGCTGGATAAAATAGTGTGGTAGCATAACCCTGTGTTGTTTCTCTGTGACAATGCCCCTAAAACATTGACCAAATGAGAGGGCAAGAAAAGGATGAGGTGAGGGTCAGGATCAGCAGCATGTAATCCGTGATATGATTTCTCTTTAGGCCGAGAACTGAGGCTGCAAACAGAATGAGAACCTCCCAGAAAATTCATTTTAACGAAGCATAATGTGAGCTCACTGGGCACAAAAATAGTCTGAAGGAAAGTGACTCCCACATAAGACCTAATTAAATACTTTGATGTCAGAAAGCAGAGCAGGGAGGAGTGGAAAATCAATCAGACCAATGTGAAGGGCCTAAACTCAAATAGAAAGAATAACTCACTCTCCTTCTCTCTCTCATCTCTCCCCATGAAGGAAGAGTAAGATTCAGAAACAATGAGTTGTAAATTCTTCAGCCAATTAGTCCAGTAACTCACTACTGTTTATAATACACAAAATGTCACAGGCTGTTTTGCAGCCGCCCCAAGTTGGTTTGTTAATAACAGGAAGCTAGCACTTCTCAGTACAGTGGATCAGCTACACGTGAAAATAAATGCAAAAAACCTGGAGGGGAATAGCAGCAGACCGAGAGTAGCCTTGATTTAATTTAACATTTGGGGGTCCACACACAAATGAGCATTTTAGTAGGCTTCATGGTGGAAGTTGCTGTCATTTGTAAAATATTCTGGCCAATTAGCTAATAGTGTGCTTGGATTTCTCCTGTTTTGATACAGTAATACTAAGTACATTGTGAAGCCCAATTATACAAATCATCCCCATATGCCATACCAGTCTTTCTTTATGAACTGTGTTTATAAATCCTGTGTGAGGAAATGTGTACTTCAGCAATTTAGACCATGTGTAAAAACATAGCCAATGGGATTGTCAGGAAAACAAGCTCCAGCCTAGGAAACCCTAATGTGTTCCGCTGGAATAACAGGAGGGTGCCGAGGAGTGCAGTGCTCTGCTGAAATACATATTGCTTTATAGTGTTTAACCAATTTAGGGGCTTCCATTTCCCTTTCTGTTATTTTGCTCTTCTTTTCTTTTAGGATCCAACCTTAGAGTTCTTGAGAAAATTTGGGATTGGTCTTCTGTCGGGGACAATAGCCTCAGTCATTAATATCCCTTTTGATGTTGCCAAAAGTCGGATTCAAGGGCCTCAGCCAGTTCCTGGAGAGATCAAGTACAAAACCTGTTTTAAAACAATGGCAACAGTCTATCAGGAAGAAGGGTAACACATTCTTACTTTAGTAAATGTACAAGGCTCAAATATTGCTAAGATCATATTGTACTTCTAGTCTGATGAGAACCAGTAAGCCCTCCTAAGTTGGGTGTGTCTAAGGAGCTCCCCGGAATATATAACAAATATTTCAAGAGGACAGAATAATGAGATGTTGGCAAAATGTTCTTAGACCTTCGAGATCGTGCCATGAGGCACGATCATGCAATACACTGCATGTTTGCCTTAGAACACTAAGATGAACTTTTTACTTGTCAGTTTACATAATATGCTATTGTGTATTATAAGTCCCACTAGTATATGGGTGGATGAATAATAGTCTTCTGACTATAAATCTAATCAAAATGCTATCTCATTATATTTTCCTGGGAGAATTAAATAGGAGAATTGCATAAAGCTAAGGTTTTTAAAAATATGCCTTTTTCTTATTTTTTAAGTCTTACTTTCTGTCTCTTCACTCTTCCTCACTAATCTTATTCTCAAGTAAACAAGTGATACTTTAATATTTTGATGTAAACTGCATCATATTTCCTAATGTAAAAACTGAATTTGTGGTCTCTTAAATTCAATTACAAAAGCCATTTTGTCCATATACACAGCTATCTTGAAAGCAAGACCTGTCTTGAAAACAAAAACCATCTCGCTGATGAAAGTCATGTTTCTGATTGGACGAGACCAGCATAGCCTGAGTAATAAAGAATTGATTAACTCTTTCCCCTCATCCAATTTGCTGCAGAGAGTACAAAGCCAGATACTGTCAGGTTTGGAATGGGTATAATTTCAAAGTTTCCTTTTAAATGCTGAGCTAGCATCTCCATAAAACTGAGGTCCAGTTACTTTATTTTCAGAGTAAGAATTTTGCTCTTTTCCTTCTGATTATAGGATTTTAGCTTTATACAAAGGCCTGCTTCCCAAGATTATGAGACTTGGACCAGGTAATGATATTTTTATCATTTATCTGCCTTCTAGTATCTCTTCATTTGTTATTTGTGTCTATCAGCAAAACAATAAAAGTTTATCCCACTTGGAGAGATGGAAACCTTGGGGATGTAAAGTTGTCTGTGAGTATTCAAGATGCTGAACACACTCGGTAGAAGTGTTCTACCTTTGTCTATATAGAACTGTTTATTACCTGGTGGACTAGTACAAAGCAAAGCCCAAGTTTAGGAAAAAGGAAAGAACCCTCAGCCAGTTGGAGTTTGAGCACTGAAGTATGAGAAGTAGATTCTGGATGAAGTCATGGATATTCCCTGAGTGATGAACCTGCCTGATAAAACATTTCCTTGTGCTTCCAGTTGAGTCTCAACCCTACCTCAGCTTCATTTCAGAAGGAGAAAAGAAGAACATCTTGCCAACATGAGCTGCTAGAGTCACTTCTTTACAGTCACCTCTGGGGCCTGGTGATGCCACTGAAGTGTCCCCAGTGTCCTGGCCTCTGTCAGTTGGATGGTTCAGGCTTCCTGCTCAGCCTTACCTGAGAATGCCACCCCACACACAAGAAAAATAAAACAAAACACCTGGCTGCCATTCCAACAGGAAGAGTCAGCTGCTTCTATGTAAATAGATAAGAAAATAACTGCTGTAGACTCAACTGCTGGGGCAAGTAGTCTTGGATTATAAATAATCTTGTGAATAAGTACAAAAGTATGCTCTAGGCCACACATTTTTGGGGGATCTGGAGCATGCACCCCTATTTAGACACCTTGCTGATCCTCTCTGGAAATCTTTTTGCTTCTGCTAACCTGTTGCTATTCCTCCCTTTTTACACCAACATTCTCCTCCCTTATTGCACTCACACATATGCAGTTACCTTAGATCTTAACCCAATAAACTGCCATTTCTGTCAACCTAAAACAAAGAACAATAGTTTGTAGATTGAAGCTAGTGAATAGAGTATGTATTTAGAAAGAAACATTTATGTATTTAAAAAAGAAATTTTCACAATGCATCTACCCTCAAATTTGCAGATATTTAAGCATAGATTTTGCTTCTCATTTAAGATTCAGAACTGCCTTCTGGTAGTCACTGGCTCATGTGTAAAAAACCTAACCCAATAATAAAGAACATTGGGGATTTTTGTACATCTTTGCAATTACTGTATGTGATATCTTTCCGTCACCACACAGTAAAAACCTGTGAGTAGACATAATATTAAGAGAAAAATCACAGGACTGACCTAAAACCAACTTTCTCAGAAGGCGATGGGCCTAAAAAGAATGGTGTCCAGACAGAATTTAGTTAAAATGGTAACTGACTGGAACTTAATCTAAAACTCTTAAATAATCTGACCCCAAGTTTTGTTAGAGGCTTGCAAATGTTTGGCTGGGATTTTAAATGTTTCTGCATGAGGGGTTCTGAGTTGCTGTGGTGTTAAACCCAATGAAAAGCATTGTGAACTTACTGTCCAGCCTAAACAACATTGTGAATAACTGCTAACCTCATTCAAAGACCTGGCCTCCACTCAATTTCAAATGTTCATATCCTAGCAACTTCAGAGGGAGGAGATATAGAGAAAGGTAACACTTTAGAGTTAAGGCAAACCAAAATTGAAGGGAGAGAGGAGAGAGGGAGAGAGGGAGAGGACAGGGAGAGGGAGAGGGAGAAAGACAGACGGACAAGAACAAAGACAGAGACAGAAGAAAAATAAGATGAACCTGGAATTTTCATCTTTCATTTTGGAGAAGCAGCCAATATTATTTTTATAATAGCCTTAGCAGCTTTCAACTGCTAACAATCAAGTACTTCCTACAAAAGTCTGTGGTTTAAACTCCAAATCTCAGTAGACAGAAAACCAACCCAATTCTGCATATTCTTGCATTACACTGTGAACAGTTAAGAGTAAATACAGCAATCACATACATATTAGCCCCTAGTGTAGTGCATCTTTTTTTTGTTTGCCAGAGTTCTAAGAGGGCTGAGGGGGTCTAATAGAATATCTTAATGGGTTAAAAATTAAAGTTGCAGGCAGATAATTATTTCTGGTATATGGTTACACAAACATGTAGTCTGTAGTCTTTTTTTAAAAAATCATATGGAGTGTGTACAAAATAACTAAAATCCAAATGTTCTATTTCTTTCCATTAGAAGTCAATCTTCTGTTGAGGCAACCTAGTCTTGTGTGCTCTGGATATTTGTACATTTTGATTTTGTAATATTTTTCACATGGTTTAAACAATATCCTAAGGTACGGGACACATACTGCTTACTACATCAGAGAAAACTCAAAATGATCCACATGCAAATGCTTCTCCATGTCCAGGTATTCAGAACCGCAGCACATTTTCCTGAGTCATATCCTGCTTCTGTACTACAGAGCAGACTTCTTTGCAGCCATTTATAAAACTATTCTCTTCTGAGACAAATGATGGTTTCAACTCCACTACCAGAATTTCAAGTTCAAATCTATATACATTTGAGGCAGATATATGGAATGATGGTTAGCTTCCAGCCTCCTTTTGTTGAGTTTTGCAATATAGACTTTAAAAAATATTCAGAAGTTATTTTTCACATTACAATCCATTTTAGAAGCCTATAAAATAAAGGCTCATCCATCAACCACCATCTTAGAGACTTTCTTCTTGAATACCACTAAGACAATACTAATTACGGACTAAAAAGATAAATCCTTTGCTGACATATGAAGAATCTGAAGGTTTCTGTTCACAGGAAAGCCACATGCCCTTACATGACTAAATATGTCTATATTTATTTACTTTTTAAAAATTAAACGTGCCTGGAAAAGGATACAATGAGAAATGAGACTCACGGGGAAAAAATGTATTTAGAGGCTCAAGATGGTCTTGTTTTTTACCCTGAATATTTTCCACAGTAGTTTCATATCAGTATATCTGAGCTCCAGAACAGCCCCTGCCAGACGGGCTGCCTGAGACTCCATGGGATTCAGAAACAATGAAGGAAGACAATGCTATTTCACAGAATGTGTGATTTTGAAATTGAATTTGTGATTTTCTTGTGTAGGAGGTGCAGTGATGCTGCTGGTTTATGAGAACACCTATTCATGGCTGAAGGAGAACTGGTGATTACTGAGGAAATGTTTTCCCTGCAGAAAATGGATGCTGTGCAGCATCATGAAGAGGAGATGCTATTGATCAGCTGAGCTAGGCATACAGTTATGAAAGGGAAACCAGCTTGGTCAAGAACAAAGCCTATTTTGATACTTTAGATTTTATCTTTAGGCAATTTGGGTTGGTATTTTGAGATACATAAATGATAGAGATACAGAGATGATAGATGAAAGATAGATAAGAAAAATAATACAAAGCAATGAGATATGTTGTGAAAAGAAAACTAATATGAAACAATGAGGTATATAAGTTGAATATTAAAATAGCATAGAAATCAGATATATTTCATAAGAGCAATATAAGATATATAAAAAAAGAAGCAATGAAGTATATGAATAAAATATTAAAATAGTATATAAACTGCACACAAGGAATGTAAACATTATAAACTGCAAACATGTACAAAAAGGAACAGGAGCAAGAGATGTGGGGAGGAAGGGAGAGGAAAAGGGGTGAAAAAAGGAATTAAGATGTGTTATGTACATGTACCAACTTCCTGCAAGGAATGAAAACATGTACTATACTCCTGTACTAATAATCTAAAATAATAAAAAAATTAATCAATAAAAAAGCAATATAATATTCCTCTTATACTGCCTCACAATGAAATTCATTATAATGATAATTTTTTTCTAAGAGTCCTACAGATGCTTAAATTCTTTTTTTTTTTTTGATGCTTAAATTCTTGAGAATAAATTATCCTGTGGCTAGTTCCTTAAGAATTATTTGAAGAAAAACTGGGCCCCCCCCAAAAAAATTCAAAATTTAAACATTTTTTGTAAGAAATTGCTTTTTTCCATAAATAATATTTAAAGGGCAAAAAAAAGTATTTTAAAATGGACCAAAGTGCCCTTTTAAGCATGCTTAATTTTAGGAGTGCTATGCTAAAATGTAAATCTGTCAGTTTTCTTTAGTAATAATGTAATAATAAGCTCTATTTTCTTAAGTTCACTTTGTATTTCACATGGTTAAATTGGTATTTTTAAACTATGATATCTGAAGTCTTTGATTACAAATAGAATACAAGAAATTATATTAAACATTTTCCCTTACATGGTTCACTTTGAAGACAAATTTTATTTCTGAGGTGTTTTCATTTTAAATCACAAATTGGAAGCACTCCTTGAGCCCATTTGTGCCCTCTGCATTTGAATCCAAATACCTTTGTATAAATCTTTTTGGTACCAGGGATCAAACTCTGGACCTTGTGCTTGCATGGTGGGTGTCGGCACCACTGAGCTAAATCTCCAGCACCTTTGTATAAATCTTTTACCCATGTAGTTCTTAAGAAGAATCTATAGGCTAAAATTATATTTCCAAGTTACTGGTTTTAAGTGACAGCTTCAGGTGTGAAATATACTGTCTATAATATTAAAATATGTATGATAAAGAAAAATGTTTCAAAATAGAAGAACATTCTTAGCTTTTCCAAAGATTCCTGTACCGACATGCACTCTAAAAACTAGCTGTTTGGTCTTAATGTAACTAAAGTCAATTAGTTATGAAATGATGCTACTTCAGTAGCTAAAGTCTACAAAAATATCTGCATGTTCTAGAGGACACATGTTCTTGACCATTACTCTGGGATATTTTTACTGTCAGGCCACTTTACTAAGGCATGTTGAAAATAAAAAGTAAAGATTACATGGTAATTATTAGTTTTTATTAATTTAGAGCATTTGAAGTATAAAAATAAAAGGCTTTTTAACATACTGTATATACATACACAGCCTTCTACTGTACATCCTTTCCAACGTGTTTTTTTAAATTTATATTTCAGCCCAATAGTCAATAAGTGGGTCATTAAAAACAGAAAACCAACAGAAATAAGAATGTGTCTGTGTTGCACAACTGCCTTCTATCCTTGCAGGTAACACTGTCGTGTGAGAGCACTGTATGCATAGAGGCCATGAGATTCAACCTTTCACCTCTCCTTGTGGAGGAGACAGAAAAGGATTTTTGAAGAGTGCATTTTTCAATTCAAAAACTACACATCAGCCCTGAAGAAACAGAGGAAATGTGTCAACATTAACCAAAACAGTAATGTTTAAAAATCAAACAGTCCGGATCCCATATCCCATCCCATTTTCCTTCTCATAGTTTTAAAATTGGCTTCAAGACATAATTTGCTTTGAATAGCAAATTGTATTTGGGCTTTTTATTGTCTTTTTAAAATTATTCCCTGTGAATTAACTGTTAAAATAAGCCCTGGGAAGAGAAACGAAAGGAAAAAAGAAAACATTGATATCATTAATATTAGATTTTTTAAAATACAAGAACCAAAAAATTTTATAAATAATGATAAGAGATTTCTTAATTTAGATAAAGAAAATAACATTTAGTTGTGTTTCTATACAAACAACTGATATTTTTTTAAAGACCCCCCTCATAGCCACTTGAAAATATTTGATAAAGAATAATTCTGTACCTTATGTCAGTTTTGCTGGATGTCAGGCGAGTCACTGTATGGTATGGTTTTAAAGTCTCCACCAAAATATGGGTTTGGATCTTTGTTCCATTCGGTTTATAGTCTATTTTCTCACCAGACTGGGAACTCCAGATGTCAATGGGAGTTTTACAAGATGATAGGAAGACTATGGCCCTGAGAGTTCATCTGCTCCTTCTGCTTATTCTTCTCCTGGAGTTATAATCCTCTACTTGTCACACTGAAGCTCAGTTGCTTTAGAAATAAATGCAGTTCAGAGTGTCTATAAAATATCTGCTTTTGAAAAAAAGCAGTTTTTCCAACATAATGTATGTGTCAGAAATCTACTTACTGTTTATATCCTGGCAGTTTGGAAAACTAGCTGATCTAGCCATCTGAGTTTTAAAGGAAGCCGTGAAACCTATGTGGCAGAACTGGATCGCCATGTCGCTGTGCACAGCACAGATACAAAGAAGTCAGAATCACCTAACAAATGCATCTTTAACATCCACATTGAGTGAGGTGCCCCTTTAGTTATTGCACAGAATTACTACCAAAAAATTCCCTAAAATATATTAATTTTCCAATAGATGAATTGTACTGATGTCCTTAAAATGTGTTTTTAAGCCTATATTGTCAAGCAGGAAGAACTTCCTAAATAGAAGAGATAAAAACTAGAATTTTGCCCGAGAAAATCAATTGTTTAAAAATATAACACATAGTCACATGCTCACACACATATATTCCACAGCTCTATTATTAACATTAAAGTGAAAAAGAAGTTGGTCGAGAAAGATTTGTCGATCTGTGTCCTGTAATTCTAGAAATGAATAAAGGGAATTTGTTAAAATTAAATAGTATTTGTATTTCTAATACCACCACCAGTTTACCTACATGTGAAACATGCTTCTGTACAACAATGTAAACTTCACAGCAAGCCATTGTTACATTCATTAGAGCAGAATTTTCCATTTTCTTTAAGTTACAACATAATTTTGGGCTGAGACTGCTGAACACACAGGTAAGCCAACAATAACAGTACAATTTAGTTTCACAGTGGTTTTCTTAACAGAAAGTTCATTAGTGTCTTTGCAAAACATTTCACATTAAACTTGTTTCTGAGTGACTTCCTTTAGAGCCTTCTTGTTCAGATATTTTCCACCCTCTTGTCTTTATATGCTTGGCATGTGTGTTGTTTGATTAGGGTACAAAATAGGAGACTGGCTTGCTTTATCTGCTTTTTGAGTCCTCTGCTGTAGAAAGAAAGTTTCCTTCATAAGATGCTGAAGCCTTCACTGCACACGCAAAATTTGGGGCCAAGTCCAGGTCCAGGAGCCCGAGCAGCCCACCACCAAACAGAGATAAAGACGTTGCCAGAAAGTCACCTTTGCAGGGAAAAAAGAAAGAAAAAAAAAACAGAGAGGGGGTGGGGTTGAAGGCCAGGGGATACCCCACAGAATGAAGACACAAATGCACCATCCAGAGTCCATATTTACAAACCAATAGAAAACATAAACATTACTGCATTTGGAGCCACATCAAAACACCGGGAGGAGCTAAATAGAGGAGTTGTTTTGAATTCTACACATATTTTAAAACAAAATAGGTCATCTCTTAAAAATAGACAAAGGATCACTCAAACAAGTCAATTATTGATTGGCTTCCTAATGATGAATTAAGGCTTACTTGGTCGCCTAGTTTGATTAGAGGTCATAACATAACTTTTTTTCCTACATGTGTTTTCTTTTATTGATTTTGCAAAATCTCAACAATTGCACGTTTCAAAAATTCAGGTTGCTTTAGAAATAAATATAAACGTGTGGTTTTACCAAAGACTAGTTTTAAAAGTTCCTTAAGCCCTTTGAGGGGTGTAGGTTTCTTCACTACCTTAAAACAGTGTGTGGGCAACACAAACGTTTCATTCAATCCTTAACGTTGCTTTTGTTTTTAAATCCTAAAGTCATGTCAGGTTTTCTGCAAGAAAGAAGTGATGGCAAGAAATACTTAAGTGTCATCAGCACAAAGGATGTGAGTCCGTCAAGCCAGCTCTCGAGGAAGGGGGATTGGAGGGCAGGAGGGATGGGATGAGAAACCTGGGAGCAGGGGGAGGCTTTGCTGAGAGGGGGAGCCCCGAATGTAGCTGCTGGAGACGGAATCGCCCATCAGAGTGCGGAAGCGGTGACAGAATGACTACCTTCTCTGGCTGCCTGCATTCCCTTGAACGCCAGCGACGCGGGAATGTCACAGTTGTGGGGGGACAGTGGGGTGCTGCCGGCGTGTTGCCACCCATGTCCAGCTACGTAACCGGAAGGAGCAGCGCTGTAGGTCATGTAAGGCGACACTTGGGCTGGGGCAGGGTAAGGAGCCATGCTGGATGCCGACACAAAACTGCTCACAGCTGGGAGACCATTTGGTGCCTGAGAGGAAAAGAGGTGAAAAATAATCACATTACAGTAGTCAGCATTTCGTAGGTTCCCAGGAAGAAGCAGAAAGTAAATTCTGAGTAAGCGAATAATATTCTGACTCCACTTTCTGATTCCTTTTTTTTTTATTTGACCTTAATTATATTATAAAAGCATTCAGTTTTGCCGCTTACACACACACACACACACACACAAGCCTAAAAGCAAGATATTGTTCTTCCCATATAAGTTTTAAGGAAGCTACAGCCACAAAATTAATAGTGATGGGGAGAGCCAAGAGAGGTGCACAAGGGGTAACAATGATCAAGATCCAATATGTATATAAAACTCCCAAGCTGAAAAAAAATTTTTAATAAAAAATAATTAATGGTGATTAAATACTCTTAGAATCTTTTCAGCTATCCACATTGACTTTGTCAGCTTTCCCAGCACTTGGGTTTTGTTTGGTTCTTTTGTTGAGGAGTTTGTGACAGGCCTGGTTGGTGTAGCTTCCACTCCCAGTAAAGAAAGGCACAGAGTTTGGGCTGTCATGCTCAAAACTCAAAATGACCAAGACTTTGTTGAATAAAACATGGACCACACTTTAAAATGTCATGTTGAAAATGCCTATTAGACAAAGGACAGGTAACCAGGCACATTGTCTTGTAAGGATTTTGGTTTTGTTGTTTTGATTTTTTTTTAAGATAAAGATTGAGAGTATTTTTCCATGGCTATTTTTATCAGAAAGAAAATTGTCTATCCAAAAACAAAAGAACAGCATATGTGTGGTATTGAATTTGGAAATTTTGTGCAAGGTTTCTGAGCTGTATGATGTGAGTGTTTTAAACCACATGGATAAATCTCTTGAAATGAATTTAGATGTAAAATCTTTGTTTGCAAACAAAATGCAACAGTCCTGGCAGGCAAACCTGCCTAGAAACCATTGCTCTCTTGGCATGCAGTAAATTACTGTTGTTATCGTTACTATTAACAACACCAAAAACACCCTGATTTCTAATCCTGCTCTGGCATGAACACTCCGCACCCTTCTTCAAGTGGCTTAATTTTCCTCCTCAATTTCTATACTATTTAGAGATAAAGTAAGTCCTGTTTCCTGGATGTGACATGAATGGACTAACACTTCAACTTATTTCCTAGTAAAAATATAATATAAATGCTAGAATTGTATTAGAAACCTGACTTAACCCTTAGAGTTAAGTAAACCAGACATAAATTAGATACTTTGTCCAATTACATTAAAACATAAAGATTTATAAAGATTTGTTTTTCATTTCTTTTGTGTGTGTGTGCTGGGGATAGAATCCAGGACCTTGCATTTGGTTAATAGTTGTAGTCCCACATCTATGAGAATACAATGGTGGGGTCTCAAAACCTTTTCTCAATATAAAGTAGATATAATATACATGGAGTAAAATATATACATGGGTTTGACTTAGCATTGCTCATGGATTTCTGACAAAACAAGAAAAAATTTATAGGAGTTAACCCTGTGTCTGGTCTATAAAAACACATACTCTGTGTTCTTCTGTTTCCCATTATTTATTCTTTGAATAATAGGAATGGAGAAAGGAAGCAAAATTTCTCAAATACCTCCTATATCACAGGCATCAAATATTACAAAATTACGACGACTAACAAATTTTACCTCATTATAAACTGTTGAGTATACCATAATTACAAAATAATGATATATGTACATTATATATATTACAATGTTCAATTTAAGTTAAAATGTATTTCATGAGGCCCCAAGAATTATATCTTTGAACAAAGTACACCATCAATAGCAAAGACACTACTATTTCATATCATTGTTGCAAATTAAAATGACCTCATCTTATTTTTAGATACAAGCATATAGATGAAGGGGTTTGTTCACTTACTCCGGGCCAACTGGCCATATATTAAAAGAATATATCATTCCTCTCTGATGTGGGGTCCTCTGATGCATATCATGCTGCTTTGCCTGAACAGTTAGAAGATAGACACAATTTAATCTCAAACTAGAGCATCTTTTGATAACGTAATATTTTAAAAAGATCTTTCCTTTTCTAGTCCTGTTTTTATTGTTAGACCTCATTTGTTTCTTCTTTTAAAAAAATCACTTTTCCCCCTTTTTTAGATTGACTACATCTCAAAGGAGGTAAACTTTAGACAGGTTCTTTTTTTTTTTTTTTTTTTTTGGTACCGGGGATTGAACTCAGGACCTTGCACTTCAAGGTTGTCAGGATATAAATATCAAGGTACTCAGTGGCTCCACGCCTGCCTCACAAGTGCAAGGTCCTGAGTTCGATCCCCAGTACAAAAAAAAAAAAAATCAAGGTAGCTATCAAATTGCAGGGAGAAAAAATCCAGCATTACATAGAGATTATACTTGTCATCACTTTTATTCAGGGTTTTCCAATAATCTATTAGAAATTAATTTGGAATGGGATCATTTCAATACAGTTCTAGAAAGGTGTTCACATTTGTATTTGGTCTTCTCTTGACATCAATTAGTAATTAATGCTTTTGACACCAATCTGCACCCCCAAAAAAGCAAAACAAGAATACTAAGGGCTGGAGGTACAGTTCAGTGGTAGAATGCATGCTTAGCATGCACTAGGTCCTGGGTTCATCCTTTACTCAACATTTTACAAATACATGATGTTACATGACAAAATAGCCAGCCGAAAATATCTAATACTGAATTCTATTTTCCATGACAGCTAAATTTTTCCTACTCATTCTTTTTTCTTTATATTTATAATCTATCATCCAAAATTACAGTTCCCTGAAATTTTTGCTTTGTCATCTTTCCTTTCCTTATACCCTGGCCCTTGAAATGATTTCTCCTTGTTGAGCACAGGGCTCTTTACCTATTCTTTTGCAATGTCTCTAATCCACAGATGTAGGCCCACTTCTTTTTGCTCAGGGACATTGCCCCCTGGAATATGATCCTGAGAAATCATACTGGATTGGGCTCTCATCTTAGATAGTGATCCTGGAACTTGGAAGGTAAAATATTGAATTTAGGTCTTCCTTTAGGTGCCTCATTTACCCCATGACTATATTTATTTGTCTATCAAGTATTTTAAAAAACATACTAACTTTTCCTATTGATGTCCAATTTCTCAGTTAAGGTATCAAACTTGCCTTCTGCTATTATTTGTAGTAGTATGAAATATTTCAATGTTCCTTAAAATCCACAATACATGCTGTCACTTTAGTGATAAAATCCCCTATGTACTACAAAAAAAGTGTACAAAGAGCAGCTCAGAGAAGTGACTTCATCTTGTAGAAAAAGACAAGGGGAGGCTAAAATGTTTGGAGAAAGAAAGAGAGAGAGAGACAGGAGGGAGAGAGGGAAGGGGGAAAAAATAGCTCTTAGCTTTCCCTCAGATTATATAATGACCTAGACTGTGAGGGAGGACATTGTCTTACTTCTTCATTTTAGTTTTAAAGTTCAGATTTAGAAATTTAGAAAAAAGGAGTAAAAAAAAGAACAAACGTGCTTCAAAATGTACCTGCCTCCTGCCACTGTCACCATGCATTCTAGTGACTCAGTAATCACATCAGTTTTCTCACTATTAATTTTGAAGCTTGACATTAGTAAAATACATCAGTCTCTACTTGGTAAAGTAATTGTCATTTATGAACCAATCACTGAAAAAGTACATTTTGCCACTGCAAAGAAAACAACTACAGGTAGTGTCGATGTTTGTTTATTCTTTCCAGTAAAGGAGTACATGACTTAAACTCCCCAAATCTGTTTAATGTTTTCAGTGAAGGACATGTAATTAATCTGAAAAGCTAGTTTAGGCTGAGTAGAGACTACCAAATGTACACCATAAATATAGTGGGAGCAAACATGTTAAATTACTCTATTTAATTGGATTGTAAATATGATTTATAAATCAACCAACATATGGAATCCCCAGGGAAGAGTAAACAAATTTTCCAAATGAAACCCCAGCAATGGGCATGTAATGAAAATCTCATTTTTGAAAATGACTTTACCCAAATATTTCATAAATAAGATCTTAATCCATCAACCCCCTTTTATCACATAGATCTTCCATGAAGGTCATGGAATTATTTCCTCTGAAGGAATTGTGCAGGGGTCCTTTCTATAAAACAAACTATCTTCCACCTAATTTTAAGAATTGGATATACTAATAGAAAAAAAATCCAAACTGTTTACCCTGGAAAAACTAAGTTGTTCTGATTCATGAATATTTTTAAGAAAAGAGAGCTTTCATCCCAGATACTAAAGTCTAGAAAAAATAATTAAGATGCAACGTAGTTGTAGCAAAGGTTATCACAAGATGAATGAAAATATGATTTCTCATTCCAATTGTTGCAAAATATTTAAAAACTAGGTTTGCCAACTTTTAAAAAATAACTTTAATGAATGTGTTAAAAAGCTGCACTGGCAGAAGGCTAAACTAGAAACTGTTGGAAGACAGGGACTTGTGTTAGTCATATTGTATCCCCCAAAATGGGACACATTCACAGTATTTTATAAACTTAAGTTACTTCAGGTCTGTGAATGCAAAAGATGAGATATTCTTGCTTTAAGAACAAAAGACTATGCACCCTTTACCACACAATAAGCATTACACTTTAAGTAAGCAAAACGAATAAAGCTGTTGGAAAAAGTAAACAAAAGTTCTAACCTAGCCATTCATTATTTGATTTATGGTCATTCTATTTATTCCTCTTCCTCCAAGAAAATGGAAATGCATTAGTATCCAAACACTTCTAACAGAAAAAAATTGGTATGACAACTGTCTGGCAATTAGAAATTGTAAGCTACTTTTCAAATTCTGGGAATTGTCTACTCAACATTTTCTCTCTTGAAGAAAATGCAAACTACATTGTCAGATCCTCTACTCACAATCTGTCTTCCACTCATCAGCTCTAGCTAGTCCTCCCCTTCTGATAAAATTAGTTTATCTTGGCTTTATGATGAAGTAGTTTTAGACACAGAATTCACCCAGAATTTCAATATCATAAGCAAGAAAAAGTTTCAAATCTGAAAAGAAATAAGATTTTCTCTTCTTTGGTGAAATCCTTTTTCTAACAACTATTCTTCCTTTATACATAATGTAATGACCTAGTAAAACAAATCTGATAAAATTAAGTGACGGTGATAAATATGGTTTCAATAATCATCTAAAAGGATCTTAATTATAGTATCACATTGTAGATCTAAATATCTCTAGGTAATGAGAAGCTGCTACAGTATTTAAATTTTTCTCTAAATTTTATTTTTCTAAAATGTTATTAAAATTGATGTAGCCTTCAATTGTTTTATTTCTGAAGTTTTATTTTTTATTTAGATGACACAAAAATTGTACATATTGAAGGGGTACAGTGTGATATTTCAATAAACGTACACATTGTGCAATGATTAAACCAGTATTATGTACATCCATCACCTCAAACATTTATTGTTTCCCATGGTAAGAAGATTCAGAATTTAAAATTACCTTTGTCTACTATTTTATATGACATATTTTACTGATATATAATTAATTTTGTATTAAAATGCTACTGGTTTAAAGTGAACCAGGTCAAAGAATGTTTTTCATAATAGCATTATGAATTTCAAATACTATTTGCATTTGCATAAGATGTTATTCTCTATAAAATTATAAATTATTTAGCAAAAATTATCCTCAAAAGAAAACTCAGTGCAATTTTATTTCAATCTTCATGAGAACAGTATGTTCCCAAGGAAGCCTGTTTTAAAAATAATGCACTAGAAAATTATATTCAGGATTCTAAAATATTATCTTCATTTCAAACACAATGTACGAGTGTATGCTTCATGAGAATTTCAGATTAAATCATGTCTTTAAGTTCAACTCTTTTTACAAATTTTTAAATTCTGAGCTTTTTAAAGTTCAAGTATTTATAGACTATATTCCTGACATTTCAATTTGTAACCAATATTAAACTTGCTGAGTTAAATATGCAAGCCCCAAATGAATACTTTAGGGTGTGACATAAACAATATTTTTTTAGAACATATGACCATTTGTATAGGTTTCCAAGGACCATATAATTATTTATAAACTGTTTGAATACAATGAGACATTAACTCCATGTAAAAGGACAGATGCATCCCAACCCCCCTGTTTCTCCATGTAATGCTCTTTTGCTATTTGATTATATTGAATAGAGATTTTATGATTTCAATAGAACAGAACCAATCATTAGGGACCAGACAAAACTGTGCCCATCTGCAATTAGATGAGAGTAAGGATTTCTAGTCCAATATTAAAAGCAGGTGAGAAAAAAAAAAGCTGAAATAAATAAATATTCTACCTTCAGAGATAGTAAGGGTTTCTTCATGACACTAAAAAATCAACTACAGAGTAATATTAATATATAAGATAAATGTGAGTATTCTAATTCTCAAAATCAAAAGATACACACTGTATATAGCTGAAATATGCAGTCAATTCTAATTAGTAGGAATCAGGTGTCTGTCTTAAATCAGTTTAAGGTAAAAATAGAAACTCTCCACACTCTCCACTGTATTAGTCAAGTTTCAATAATTAGCTGGCAGCTCAGCCCTTTGGTAATTTTACAGGTGCCTTTCAAGAAAGTCTGCTTTGGGCCAGGGATTTAGCTCAGTGGCTTTGCCGCCTGCTGCGCAAGCTCAAGGATCCAAGTTCGATCCCCAGTACCAAAAAAGAAAAAAAAAAATCTGCTCTAAATCTTATGATACTGAATTCTCAACTCCCTCCTTTATATACTAAAATGAAACTAGCATAATAATACTGAACTATTTAATAACTAAGAATACCCTGAAAGTATTATAGACAAAACTCTTCACTTTTCCTTTGTCAAAGACTTTCAAGTTTTGTTACTTATACAGAGAGAGAAATGCTACCTGAGTTCACATTTTGGCTGGAATATGATGAAGATGTTTCAAAAAGTTATATCTAAAAACTAAAACTTTGAATACTGGTAAGAGAAATGCACACATATATGCAACACGCTTTATCTTTGCATTTTTATGAGCAAATGTTGATATAATTTTATCCGCATTGAAATCAATATCCAAAGTCCAAAATTACTCAAAAAAAGACAGCATAAGTTTATGTACCTACTTAGCATATCTTCAGCACTAAGCATTATTTGGATAATCATAATAGTCACTGATTTACATTATACTCAGAAGCTTTTCAGGTTCTGAAACTTTGCAACATTTAAATTCTCTACCTACATGGAAATACAGATGATTAGCATGCTATAGTTAAGAATTTTTCAAATATTCAATATTCAAATATTTAATGTAAATATCTTTTTACTCTGGAAGAAAAAAATTCTCTTAAGTGTTCAGAATAAATTGATTTGACCATTTTTTTTAATTTATGAAACTGTTAATTTAATCATTTAAAATTAGTGTATATAATCTAATAATTTTTAATGTTTATAATATAGAGTAGATTTGAACCCATGTTTATTTAACATTTGTTTTAGATAAATTGTCAGATTAATTTTGAAGTGCATTATAAATTCACAATTTCTATACAAGCTTTAATGCTAGATATATAAGTCAACAGAAAAATGAAAATAACTATAAAAGGTTTTGTATAATGAGACTGCATTATGTATAAACTGGGTTCATCAATGCACATGAGAATTAGATATTATTTTTCAACTCTATACTTCACAATGTTATTCCAAAAAATAAACTAATAAAAAGCTCTGAGCACCTATTAAGTGCTTGTTTCTATGCTCAGAGATTTATATACACTTTCTATTGTTTGTAACAAAATGCCTTCACTTTATTTTTACAATGGGCTCTCTAAACAAAGTATATTCTTTTAAATATCGTTGATTTTAAAAAATCAGTTTCTACCTCTTATAACCACAGATAACATTCAATGAATGTTTACTATGGGTCATATGATTGCATTATCTCACTGAATTCCCATGTCTTTTCAGATTGGGACTATTATTTCCTATTTTTAAAGATAAAAAATGAAAGCTCTAAAAAATTGAGTAGCTTGCCTAAGCAGTGGTGCCAGAAGGTCAGAACTCCTAACCATTGTACATATTGCCTCTCTTTGCGAATTACAGCACTTTAGTAAAAGAAAATGACAAACTTGCTTATATATCTCATTGGCATTCTATACAGTAAAAACCGATTAAAGAAAGGATCTCTCTTTCCTCGCTGCTATTTTCTATGCTACTTGACATGGGATCACTGCTAATATTCTGACCCTGCTTCCACAAAATCTGGGAGGAAGTAGAAATGAGATTCGTTAGAGGAACTCGTGACTAGGATTTCCCATCTATGAATGAGAATAACAAGTTCCACTTAATTTCTAGAAGCTGATTTCCAAGAAAATGTTAAAAGTTTTTGGTTCAAAATAATTAAACGAAAACTAAGTATTTTGAGGCTTTGGTACTGGAGTTTGGAGTTAAGAAATTTGCAGAGGTACCTAGTCTAGGTCTGCTCAGGGAAACCTTACACTGCCATAAAGTCTCGTTTTTGAGTTTTGAATTCTTGACTGTAGTTAGCATAGTCATGAATTTAGACTCAGACTCTGGCTTTTGTTGTAGTGGTTGCTTAGAGTTTTTGTTTTGTTATTGTTGTTGTTGTTGTTGTTGTTGTTTTCAGGGGAAAAAAAAGTAATGTTTTCACTTTTCTTCTGGAGAGTCAAAAGACTGAAGGAGGGAAAGGAAAATTGAGCGGTCCACAGCCAGTCTGTATAATTTGAGGTTTTCTCACTAAGCTCCCTTGGGAGATTACGACGTGACCTTTAATGGGGAAATGGTCATTCGATTACGTATATCTGGTTGTCCCTCTTCCCTCCTCGTCGCACAACCCGCGCTTGTCCGTCTCCGACGGTCGCAGCCGCCGTTCCAGGCCACGCGACCTCGGGCGTGGAGGCCGCTGGCGCGGGCGGTGCTCTGGAACCCAGGGCCGCGAGGCCCGGCCCGTCGGAAGCTCGCTCTTGGGTTAACTCGAGCCTGGCTGCGAGTGGTGGAAAGGGCGCCCCCGAGGGCCAGCAGGCCCGAAGCCGCCTGGCGGGGCCGCGCCTTGGGGAGCCGCCGCCCGAGACGCCGCAAGCCCGAGCGAGCGCGCCGGGCCCTTGGCGGGGGTCGACGCCTCCACTCAGCCCTGGCAGGCCTGAGCCTCTGGCTTCTCTCGGCGGAGGAGGCACAGAAAGGGGCCTCTGTCCTCCATCCCTGAAAGCCCTGCCGCCGTCGGCCCACCTGGCCAAGCCCTCGCTCCTCACCTGACCGTACTTGGCTTCTTGCTCCAAGGCTCCCTTCTCCAGCCCGTTCACCGCGTGCGGGGCTGCGGCTGGGAAGTTGCTGCGGCCCAGGCTGCTCCACTCCTCCACCTTGGGGCTATGGTAGGGGGAGCTGTCGCTCACTCCTGGGAAGGAGGAAAAGAAGTCAGCCTGAAGGCTTAACCCCCCGCGCTCCCCCCCCACACGACGCGACCCAAGCGCCCCCGGGGCTACGACCTCTTCGGGGCGGCCCCTGCGCTAGGCCTCCCTGGGGCGCTGGCCCAGAAGCGGCCTCCTCAGCTTGCAGACCGAGACCTGGGGATGTTCTACTCGCCTGAGAGTAGGCCCCTTTTACTCATTTCACCCAAATCTGCAGGAAGAATAAGGTGGGGCTTTTCTTTTTCAATGAACTTTATTTCCCTTCTCCCTGCTTTGGTCTCCCAGGGAAATGAGTGGAAGAAACCTGATAATTTTCCCAAATCAAAGAAAGAACCCATGAGGTTGGATGTCCTGTTCTCCACTCCCCTGATCTCAACTCTGGGCTGACTGCAGGGAGGGTGACAAATATCTGGGACTGGAGCAGGCTGAAAATGTAGTGTCAGGACCTAAGGGTGCCTTGGCTGGTGCTCACAGACATCCAGAAAAGTGCTCACTGCACTGTGGGGATCTGGCACTTAGGTCAACAGATGGAACAAAAGACCTCAAAGTCCTTTGCAAACAAAGAACTAAATGATGCACACAGTACACATGCAAAATATACATGTATGAATTTCCTCTTTATGTGTGCCTGGGTCTACCTTGCATGCTCTGCCTCTACACATTAAATAAGTGAGGCTATGTGTATGTGACTAAAAAGAAAATCTTTGTAAATTCCATGAGTGTCAATGGCAGGTCATATGAAAAAGGTTTTTTTAAGCCTAAGAAGGAGAAAATTAAATAAAATGTTAAGAAAATGAAAGTAGAATTAAATGTTAAGAAAAGGAGTAGAAGTTACCTTTCCTGTTCTTGATGGAGATGTAAGGAAAATTACATAGAACAGTACTGTATAGGATGATTACCACGACACCTAGGGTTGTGTATATCAAATTGCTGGCTTCTTTTAAGTGACCAAGTGTAATTATAAAAAGGAAATATTTGAAGACTAGAAGAAATATATTATTGTCTCTAGGTCCTATGGGCAGAAGAAGTCATGGTGTTTTGACAAAACACCATGACTTGATTTTAAAACTTCCATCTGATAAAGGGTCTAGAAGGGATGTTCATTTTGTACAAATCAGTGTTTTATATTCACAGATTTGTCAGAAATCAAGATGTTTAGCGCTAGCACCCAGAATCATCAACAATAGCTACAGTGGAGGGTTGCTCTTCTCCATAATACAATGCTTTCCCAACTGACACTTGGTCTGATTGTAGGATCCTTAAGGAAAACTTTTCATCCCTGTCAGCCTTTTTTAAGCATACTCCCTCCCCCAAATCAACTGTGCTCCTATGTTTACACCAGGAAACTGTTTTGGTCCAGAACTGCCTCACTTTCTTTGCCTTCCCAGACAAAAGGCAATCGGTGGGCACAAGCCTAAAGTTATCTTAAGAAATTGAGATCCCCCTGTGAGCCCCATTTCTGCTGATCTCACACTTTCCCAAGAACAGGGGCTTCCTTTAAATGTCAGTAAGGTCAGTTTATCCTATAAATCAAGAGCAAACTCTCTCCAACCAAAGCTCCAACAAGCTCCAAATAAGACAAAACCGGGCTCTTGCAAATTCACGGGCAGAAAACAAGAATATGAGAAGTCAACGCTCTGCTTTAATTACTTAAAAACATAATTGTGCCAGTGTGGTGGCAACTCCAAAAAGCAGGAAATAATTGAAGGAACCATTTGCCCTTTGTCTATTTTTCCCCTCCAGTTTTTAACTTTGCACTGAGAAATTAAGATCTCTGTGTCTAGAGTACTTTGATTCTTTTCACCCTACCAAGAAAAGAAGTTAATACCTTTTTATTTTTTAACAGCGCAATAAAAGAAAACAAACTCAGGTCTCCTGCAGAAGCCAGACTGGGCTAGAGGGCTCTGGGCATCCTTCTGATGTCGCAGGAAAGATGCTCAGGAAGTGGCAAAGTCAGGGTAAGAAAGGAAAGGACCCAGGTGGGGAGGGTGGTAAAATTTTTTTTTTTAATTCAAGGACTAGATACACATCCACTTGCATTGCCAGGGAGCAAGAGGACCCTAAGGGAAAGTGGCAGGCTCAGGGGGAAAATAGGCGAGAACAGTAAAAAGGACTGCTTGGAATCTTTACCCTGCATTTGGTCTCGGTCATCCCTGTGGCAGGGATGTTTGTTCAAAGTGGACAGAGAGAGAGGAGGAGGTGGAGGGAAGGAAGGAAGGAGGAAGGAAGGAAGGAAGGAAGGAAGGAAGGAAGGAAGGAAGGAAGGGAGAAGACAGGTAGGGGTGGGGGTGAACTACAAGCAAGTTACTAGTAACCGGGACCTGGGTTTCCGAGGAAAATGAAGTGAGGCATAAGAATGAAACCAATTAGGTGACATTTGAACTTCCTGCCTGAGCAAATTTGGCCTGATTGCCAAAATCCGAGAATACTACAATTTCCACATCGTATGGCACTCCTGACTCCAGCATCTGATCGCGAGCAAGCTGCCCACAGCCCCAGGCCGGCTGGGCCCTCCCGGGCTGCGCCCCTAGTCGTCCGGGCAGTCGCTGCTGTGAGCAAGCCAGGCCGAGGCTGCCGCGCCGTGAGAGGCGGGGGAGGGTGGAAAATGCGAACCATGTGTTGGGGATGGGGGATGTTATGGGTCTGGTAGTTTGAGATGAGGCAGGAGAGACTGTGTGTGGCAAGGAAACTGGGGGCAAGAGTTCCAAGTTAATGAGATCAGGACACCCCCTGGGAAGACTCCTTAGGACTCCAAAGCAAAAAGCCTCAGGTGGTGGCCTCAACGCGGGCCGGGAGGCCGCAGACAATGGGAATCCGGCGGGAGTCTGCACATCTTCACGCCGGGTCTCGGACCCTTACCTTGGTCGGTGATGGAACGGATGCCTAGGATGTCGGTGACAGAGTGCGAGGAAGGCCAGGTGCGCGGCATGGCCACCGAACCAGGGATGGCGGGCACCCCGGGAGGCGTGGGCACCTTGGCCGCCGCCGCCGTGATGGGACTAGGATACGAGTAGATGTGGTTGTAGGGGAGCGCAGGCTGTGGCGCCGGCTGGTGCTGCTTGTACGAATCGTAGTGGCTTTGCTGGGCCAAGTTGCCGATCTTGTTGCGCAGAATGCGACTGATGGAACTCACCGAGGGCACGTTGTACTTGTCACACACGCCGTCGGCCAGCAGGCGGTCGCGGATCTCCCAGGCGAAGATGCCCGGGTCCCTCTGCTTGTAGGTCCGGATGTGCTTCACCACAGTGGGGGTGGTGACCCGGGGCTTGCTGCCCCCAATGGCTCCTGGCAAGATCGAGCCTGTCTCGTTGTAGCGCGCCAAGATCTTGCTGACGCAGCCGTGCGAGACCCGGAGCTGGCGGCTGATGTCACACGGTCGGATGCCCAGTTGGGCCAGTTCCACGATGCGAAGCCGGATGGCGTTGGGCAGCGGCCTTCCGTTCACGAACACTCCTCCCAGCTGGTTCACCTCCCCGAAGGCTGGCTCTGCAAAAGGAACACACAGTGCGCGGGGACGCGCACCCGCGGCTTGGGACAGCTGCCTGCCACTTGGCCTCTGTCTGCGTCCCAGGGCCGGGCTAACGAACCCGCCCCTGACTAACGACTGGGGCTGTCCCCAAACCCTAAGGTCCTGAACTTTGCCGAAAGGCCCAAAGGAAGTTGCGGTCGGGTCGGACCCCCTTCCTCATTCCTGCGGTGGGGGCAGCCGCTACGAACGAGTACAGTGGTGAGACGCCAGCCAGCCCGCTCCGACTTTCAGGATTCTCCGCAGCAGGCGAGGAAGTCGGTCTGGACGCCGGAACGCGCCCCGCCTCGCCTGCCCGGCGCTGAAGCCCTAGGGCCTCTCCTCTCCACCACCACCTCATCTCCGTCGCTGACCCCCGAGGCGCGCACACTCAGACTCAGGGCTTTTCTGTTTTGTTTGCTTGCGTGTGTGAAACAAAATTGAGATCGCCCCTGCAACTGCGGGGCTCGCTGATGCCACAGCTTCCTTTGCTCAAAATCAGAAAACGGCATCAACAGCAACCCAGTAGCCAGAGTTCAGATTGAACTGCTGCGCGCCGCTGCCCCTTAGCCTGCTCCTACAACTTGTAGGAACGAGAGCAAACTCAGCACGCGGGGCCGTGTGCGCTCCCTCCCTCCCTCGCCGGCCCGCCCGCGCCCTCCCTCCCTTCTCGGCTCTGACAGCGGGCCCCGTCGCCACTCACCCATTGCTCCGAGCAGTACACCAACCCGGCTCCAGTTCCGCACTCCCAGAAAGAAGGTTTTCTCCCGGCCTCAGTGGCCCGGCTTGTCGCTGCTCCGGGCTGCTGGCGTCTCAGCTTCTTCCCGGGAGGAGGCGGCACGAGTGCAAAAGGAAGGAGTAAAAGGAAGTCTGTGCCCCGATGAAAGAGGCTTGAGTTCTGCATTTCAATCTCAGCAGCAACGTGGGCTGGGCTGAGCAGGGCCGGGCGGCTCCGTCTATCACTCACTGGGGACACACCCCCAAAGAGGCGGGCTCGAGGGAAAACTGCATGGTGATTGGTGGGAGCCGGTGAGCGACAGCGCAGTCCGGGAAACTCCTTCCGCTGTCTTCTTCAGGCTGGCTCCGCACCTGGGTGACTAAATACAAAGAAAATGGGTGTTTGACATCTTCCCAGAGCCGTCACAAATAACAAAATTAGTCTGGTAAAAATGCTGAATGAGCAAATGAAAGCGTTTGACCGGAATATGAGTGGCTCGAAGGGGATAGGGACAGAGGGAGACCTCTTTTGGGGGAACGATGGACCTCTAAGAAATGAAGCTACGATTCTGAGTGGGAGGAGGGCGCCACCGGTTACACAGGTGGGGGTATCTTAGAATCATAACCTGCCCTGTGGGCCTTCGGGAGGCGTCAGGAGGGGACCTCTGTTACCCACTGATTCCACTTTTCAGTCTACTACAGGTGACGAGTGCGCAGGTGTGGGGAGGTGGGACAGTCGGAGAAACCAGGAGGTTGAGGAGAGGCAAAGACAGAGATGTTAAGGCCAAGGGCGTCCCTACCGAGACCCACGGAGGTCTATTCTGTGGCCGGCTTCGCGCGGACCGCCAGTGGGCGGTCTTGGAGCGCAGGACCAATCCCTGGCTACGCGAGGTCCAGGCAAGGTCCGCATCCAGTGCGGGGAAACCTAGGCATCGGGGGGGCTGAAATTGCGCAAACCCCCCTGTCGACCGACTGACAGTGCGTGAGGCGCTCTCTGCCCAGCCAGCCCTCTGCGACACTCGGCCACCATGCCGAATTATGGGTCCTTGCTGCTAGACTTTGCTGGGGTTCTCCACACCAGTGAGCCATCGCAAAGGGGTTTTGTTTAAATATGAAAAAGATTTGGTCTCAAGGAGGTGGACACCAAGGCGGCACATATATGTAATTCTTGAGATTTCTGTGTAGCTACCAGAGGCCCTGGGGTTCTGCCTACTTCTGAATTTTCATTTTCGTTCTCTGTAAGTCTAATCTATAGTGGACAGTATGCCTTGGGTGGCAAAATTTATTTATAAGTGAAGTAAGGACTGTGGAGAATGTGAACAAAATAATGAACAAGATACGGAAGGTTTTTAATGAATTTGGGAGCTTGTAGTACTTCTGAGGGAGAATGGTGACACTGCTACTTGCTCCTTCTTGCTGGCTCGGGATTGGGGCTTATCTTCCCTCAGTCCTGAGGAATGCGCATGGCTCAGGTCTACATTCAGAGAAGCCAAATGGGCCCAGATCACTGCCCAGAAAATGATAAGGACACAGGAAAAACTCATGATCAGTTGTACTTCTTGAAATGGACATTGCTATTTAGTTTCCCATGCTTCTATAGCAGAGATGCAGTCTGAATTCAAATTTAGATTATGAAGTATGTTTTCGATGCAGTTCCCTTTGATTCTTTACTATCGAGATCTTGTAAAAAGTTTCACAACTCGAAATGCTTAAATTTATCCCTTTTGGTGTTTCTTGGTGGGTTGGTTTCAAATGTCTAAGATATTCTCGAAGTTTGAGTCAAAAGCAATTTTGCCCTGGTTTGACCTTCACAACCTGTTGTATGGCACTGCCTAGCGCTTTCCAGTGAGAAAGGGCCTTCAGGAATCCAAGACTTTAGAAGCAGTAGTTCCTTCTTAAGGTTAGAAAGCATAACTTAATTGAGCCTTTGTGATATCTGAGGGGAGCTTAGGACTTCACCTGAGGCTTGCGCAAAAGAGTGAACATACTCTGCAACTTGATCAGGAACCCTTCCTCCCCCTGAAGACCTCTGAGCTGTTTGCCCCAGTGAGCTGTTGGCACTCTTTGGGACGACTGCTGCGCGGGTACAGTACAAGGTCATTCAGCCTAAGAGTTGGCAAGAGCCAGTTCCCTTGGAAGATCTAATACCACCAGCCAGGAGTGCTCCAGAACCTGTGAGGTTAGCGCTCAGGCTAGCACCCGGCATCCTTTTGTTGCCTCCGACTCCTTCAGCTGCCACACATCTCTCTCGCTCTCGTGCAGGTCCGTTGCCATCTCTCCCCTTCCACCTGCCAGACTTGGCTGTGACCGCGCGGGGCCTTAACCTCCCCAGGCAAGCTCGGGCAGCATCCCACCGGGTGTAGATTCCATCATTGTGGGGTCCGGCAGTACCGCCTCAAACTAGCGGTCGCGGGTGCATTCTCCAGAGCTCGAAAAGAATCGGTCTTCGGCATTCTGGGCCATTAAGCATCTGAGGCAGCGGAAGCCCACGCTCTGGCAACAACAGAAGCCGAAATAACAGAATCAGTGGAGGACGGGACGGCGGGAATCTCAGCGGGAAAGGCTAGTACTGAGCGTCCCGGCTGCACACTGAGTGTAGTGGTGAGGCAGACAGTGACTCCTGAGTGTGAGCCAGGGACCACAGATCTGAGGGATGGAAAAGGGGTGGGGTGGAAACAGAGACTGAGAGACAGAGTAAGGTCCAATGAGCCCCAGTGGGACAAGGGTGCAAGACTTGAGACAGAACAAAAGTTACAAGGGGTCAGCACCCTCGGTTACTGCCCCGTCTAGATCCAGATCACACAGGGATCGGAAGAATTTCAACTGAAAGGAGAAATTTAAGACCAAAATCAAAACACTACCAGTAAGGCCTACAGCTGGCTCAGGCCAGGGAGAAGCGGAAAGCATTTCCCTAAGCGCTATCAGGGCCTCCTACAGGGGCGACCCCTTCTCTGGGTAAATATTTACTCAGTGGGAGACTGGAAGCCGGCTGGGCCACAGAGGGTGAGGGAGGAGGCTATAGCGGGTGGAAGAATCCACACACTTGGCACTGGTCGGACACCGGTAAGGCTGGGGGAGCTTTAACCCTCAGCGCTTCTCCTCCGATGGACTCCGCCCGGCCCCGGCTCATCCAGACCAGATGCTGTAAAGTTCCCATAAATCTGTCAGCGGTCCCAGTGTCACGGGGCCGTCACCTGTGGCGCGCCCCTCCCGGAACTAACGGGGTCTGCGGAGAAATGCAGAAAAGGTACTGGAATCTCGCTCCTTCCAAGGCCGCCCTCAGTGGCCCGGCCGAGGATCCCCCAGGGCTACCGAGGGAGGAGCCCAGGGCTGCAGAACGCGCTGGACAGGGGGAGACCTGCCTGGTCCCCAGCTGGTCTCTCGAGGCGTGCGTGCAGGTCAGTGAAGACCGCGGATGCGAGGGGAAGGTGTGTATGTCCTGTTCTCAGTCGCAGTTGTGATGAGCAGATTTAGGAGGCGATTCCTCCATCTTGCTCCCCTGCCGGGGCCAGATGGGACCCTGCGCAAGGCCCAGAGACTTGCCTGCTCTCCCCACCACCACCACCACCACTGCTGGAAGCGCAGGAAGCAGCCAGACACCGAGTTCCAGGACAGCGATTTTCAGTGTACAGTGACTTTTTCCAATCAATCAAGGGCAAATGGTAGGCAAAGGGAAAACCGACACTTTTCCCCCCGGAGGAATGCCTCTGTAGGGTGAGTGGGCTGTGTGGAGGCCCGGCGTCTCCAGACCTGGGCTCTAGCGGGGTCAACGGTGGCTCCTCCGCCCACGGTGCCTCCGGTCAATCGTGGAGGCAAGTGGCAGCCAGAAGCGCACCCCACGTCCAAGGCCAGGACGTGTCTACCCTGGACTGCTTGCCCAGCTGAGCAGCTCCGGAAGCCCCAGGCAAGGACAGAGGCTAAAGCAAACCACCACGGGGAGCTGGGGAAGGAGACAGCCCACCTGAGTCCTCGGCCCTGGCCAGGCCGGCAAGGGGCGCGGGAATCGCGGGGACGCGCATACACTGACCTGCCTGCAGGCACTCGGTGTGGTTGCAGACGCACCGGCCCAAGGAGAAGGCACAGGGACCAGGCGCAGCCGAAAGATGCTCAGAGTCACCTCGCAGCCTCAGTCTTTTCACCAACAAGCCTCGCGATTCTAGAGCCTTTCCCCGGGCCCGCGAAGTAGCTCGGTGGCAGCAGACCCGTGGATCAGAGCGCGGAAATTCCTCCCGGCTCGCGGGGGCCCAGAGCTGCCAGTCCCGAGCGCGGCGGGCTTTGGGATCTGCCCCGCGGACCGCGAGCGCTCATCGCCCGCTTTCTCCTGCCCAGGGCAGGGGAGGGGCCTGTGGTGGCCTGAAACCCGCTTTGAATTCTCCGTCTGCCTGTTTCTGATCACCCTGGGTTGGTTTTTCTATTTGCTCACTCCTTCTATTACAATAAAAACAATCGACATTTCTTTTCAGTTTCCCCATATTAGCGTCACTCAGTAATTGTTCTCCACCTCCTCCCTCCCCCGCCCGAGTTGAAGGCGAGCGATGCTGGTATTCTCTGCATTGGAAGGTTTCCGAGTATATAAGCAAATCTTCCCTAAAGACTGTAAAGTAAAAATAAATAATCGCCCGAGAAATTGCCGTGACCCTAACATCACTTTCTGAACGCAAATTACACCCATTTTTCAGTTTTCAACAGTGGAATTGCTTTCAGAAGAACGGCGCGGAACCTCATGTGATATGGCTGTTTGTTTATTAAATGCGCAAATGAAAGAGAACATATTTTTGTGCGAGGGGCAAAACTCGTGGCGGCGACACGGTAAGTGCAAGAATCAGATTCCGACTGGGGGACAGAAGTGGGAGGGGTCCTGCGAGGAGACGGAGCTGACCCTCCGAGCCAGCTCGGCTCTCCAAGGTTGCAGCTTCCAAAGCGGGCCCACAGCTTGGTTACCGGGCTGCCTTGTGCTGCAGCGCTCAGGAGAGTTGCAGCTGGGTGTGGGAAAAACAGCTGCAGGACACCCTGCCCTCCAAGAGTCTGCTCGAGGGCACTGGGGCTGCCTCCAAGGGAAGACCCGATTGGCCTAAGGGCTGTCTGGAAAAGATAGACGCAGACCAGATCTCTGGACTCCAGCACTTGTGCAGCCCCAGGCGTGCGTGCGAGGGAGGGGTGCGCTGTGGTCCAGCTTCTGCCGAATGCAGCTTTATGGAGAAATCCAGGTG